ATTTGTTTGACACTATAGAACCATAGTTCCTATCCAAATAATTTTTCCTACTTTTAGGTGAAAAATGAACACATTAGGATTTTGTAACTATACATGACTATGGTTTTGGCAATAAAATTAGAAATGCTGCACAAAAAAATTGCTGTGTTGAAAGATGTTATGGGCAAAGTCCATAAATGTGATAGACATAAGATTGGTTAAGAGACCACATGAAAAAGTTTTGGGAGAAAAGAGGAAATCGGGTGTGAGCTGGAGAATCCCCAGAAAAGGAGAGCAGCTGGGAGGAGGCACCTAGGTTGGCAAGAAGGCCCAGGTCAGCGCAGTGTGGCAGGAGGCACCATGGAGGAGGCTCATCAGGAAGAGGAGAGTCATTAAGAGTGTCAGGACATGCAAAGCTGTCAGGAAAAACAAAGACTGAGAGAAAGCACTTGAATTTATCTGCTATTTGCAAAAGCCTCAGCTGCCACTCAAATCACGCAGCACTTTCTAGATAAGCCCTAGTTAATGACTCCTGCTATTATCTGAAATACAACAGAGATAGGGGAGAATCCCATTTAATACAGTTAGGAAACTGACATTTATCACTCCATTCACCACAATGCAGGATTTCTGAAAATGAAATATCCTGACATCGGGAAGACTGTGGAAATATGACTGCTGCTATGAAAGTTCAAAATGTGACATTTATTCAGAAGGTTGTCATCGCGTTGCACAGGTACCTACTTTTTAAAAAATGCAGTTTGAAGAAGCACTCTGCCAGAATAAGGACATCTCCTGCATTGGCTTCAACTGTAAAGTATGATTTCTATTTGGGGAAACAATGCGGATGTTCACCTCAGGGGAAAGCATAAGGCTGTTTTCTCATTAGGCTTGCTGGGCTGGGCACCCACCTGTGTGCCCGCTCGCCACCCCCCGCCTGCAAAGGCCTGAAAGCTGTCTCCAGTCAACAGCCTGCACCACATTTTTTTACCTGTTTCCATACATCAGACTTCTAAAACCCAGTTGGCAGCCATCATCATTTCTTTGTTTTTCATCTTTCTTCCCAAGATATTTTCATGCAATATCCTATCCAATTTCTTATCTATGACCTCCATAGGCTTCACCCATGTTTTGAATCAGGACATCCATTTGCTCAATTTTATTGTCAAGTCTATAGTCATATATATAGATAAAATAAAATATACTTTTAAAAAATAAGTTTCAGGGAAAAAAATCACGTGTTTTAAATTATGGCTCAATAGTTTCTTAAGAAAATATGTCCCTGATTTCTTATAGACATTTAAAATTTGACTTATGCCTCTGATCTATCACCTTAGTGATTCTTCACAGTGTTCCTAATTATCTACTTACTGAAGTCAATGGTTTTTACTTCCTCAACATGAAATTATCCTCAGTAGCCCAGGACCTGAAACTATTTCTTACGGTGAAGTTTTCAAATCCTCTCTCATGCACTTCTTTTTCCTTTTACAAATCTTTCTTCATTTTCATTTCCACATTGTTACTAATTTTCAAATTATCCCTTTAAACTCCACTCTGTCTCTCTGTTTCTAGCTGCCTCTCTCTGCTTCTATTTCTCTGTACATTACACTCAATCTGCCTTGGAAACCTTATGTCTTCCAAGAATTTAGTTTTATGATGTCTATATTATATTTGAAGAAAGAGCTACAAGAGAGATGGCCAGAACTTTTTCAGGACTTGTCCTAAGAGGAAATTGCTTCTTGATGCAATCATTCTGAATTCAGCAACCTGACTGCTGTGTTGGGACTTCCTAATTTGTTTTTATCCAATTCCCAGGGTTAAACATAACCCAAGGAAGACATTTTCTTTGTGGATTCACGAGCTCTTTGAGTGCTGAACAGCCAGCAATGCTCCTTTCTCCTACTGGAAACAAAAATGGTTAGGTTTACATTAGAGCAAAGAGAAAAAGGTTAAATAACGTTAAATTTATATCAAGGTTCCATCATCACTTAAACATTGATTCTCTGTTTTATGTTGATTTGCTAGATATTCAGAAAGAGTTATGAGCACAGTAGGATTTTCCTTCCACCAGGCAGTGTGGAGATGGATCTGACTGCTGCTCAGTGTCCAGGCTTCTCTGCAGAGCTTCTCGCCACCTGGCAGGTGTGCACCCTTGGGTGGCTTCCTTGTGCTGGGCCCTTCCTCACTGCCAATGATGCGACCTCACACTATTTTAATCACATTCAAAACTGAGAAGCTCCTCTGTTCTAGGAAGAGAGCTCTGGTTTCCCAGTGAGATTCAGAACACCAAGATTCTATCATCAGAACACAGAGTGATCAGTTCTGTGATGGCTTATTTGGCGACATATCCCTGCAAAGAGCACTCTTCGCGCATCTCCTGTTGGTGTTATCAGGCTGACATGAAATAGTCTTGCCTTATCTCAAATGTTCCCATGTTTCTCAAAGGATGCACATGGAACACTCTTTAGTTTCTACCTGGCTTTTGATGGACATTGTTTTTTAATTAGGAAGTCAGGGTAGCATAGCACACTAAGATATACCTTAAACTAAATTACATTCCAAATCAAGTTCACCATGGCTTCCTGTCCCCTCTACCTACCTCCCAGGTCTTTATCAATCCTTAATATTTCCAATTTTAGATGTTGTCAACTTCTTTAGCATGCTCTGAGGTACTACCATTGTCTTCGACTTCTCATTCAATACTATATCTGATTTTTCCTGTTTGTGTCTGTTTTGCATGTATTTTTGCTCTCGGGACACTTACGTTGATCCAGTTCCTCAGTAGTTGCAATAACCTCTTCCCTGGGCTCCAGTTTTTAATTTCTGTCTAATCAGTCTAACCAAAGTGTTACAGCCAGAA